GGGTTCTGTCGATGGAACTTTCTCTCTGACTCTTTGCGTGTTGATTATCCTTTGCTTGTTCACCTCTCCTTTTGGATTCCTTTCTTTCTTGACCTCTCTTTCTTCTGGTTGTTTTCTTACTTTCTTTGGCTGGTCCTTTGTATTTGTAGTTGCCTTTCTCTTTTCGACTTACTCCTATACTTTGAAATTTGTTTGTTCTATAGTGCTGCTCCTCATTGAATTCCCACTTTCTGATTGAGCTTCTTGAAAAATACCCTTAAAAATGAGCACTTTAGTTCGGTCATAATAGAGCTTAATTTGACATATATTTGCTACTGTCTGTTCCACATTTGTATCAGTTAGGTAAACCACTGTTTCTCTAGTCCTTTCAATTACATATGGACCTTGAAATCAAAGACAGAATTTAACTACTGTGTCTTCCCTTGCCCATGGTAAAAAATGCTTGCCCTCAAAATATTGTCTTCCACCTTGTAAATCTCTTCCAGTCTTTTCTTGTCATAGTATAACTTCTTGTTTTCCTTTGCCATATCGGTATTTTTGACTGCTTCATTTATAATGTTTCATGTATCTTTCAGTTTGAATTTCGGAGCTGTCTTCTGCACAAAGAAGAATTTATATATAAATAATTGATTTAAGATAAAATCTGTTAATTCCTCGACTGGAATTTACAAAATAACTCAAATTCGATCTTGGCCCTATCTTTTACAGTGAGGAACATTTTGAGAGTGTTCTTAGGATTTACAAATGTGTAGCTCTCACTCCCAGGCTCACCCACCACAGATTTTCCAATGCATTTGTACTATGTGGAGGCCTGGCCTCTAAGAGCAGCAGTGGCCATAGTGACTGTTTATGCATCTGGCACTAGATATAATAGGAAGTGGGAATTTAATTATTTGAGAAATTTCATCACAAAGCTTTTCTCATCTAAAATGACTGCTGGTTTCAGAACAGCCCTTATTGTATCAATAATAAATCCAAATCCCGCCATGGATTTAACTGCAGTTGGCAGAATTTGGGATGTTGAGGGAACAAATGTAAATCTTGCAGTTTCCTGATACATGGTCTGTTTCAAAGTTCAGTTGCCATTATCAAGTTTTAAGTCTTTCACTATTGTAAACTGTGACCAAAACCTTTGGTAGATGTAGGCAACTTATTGCTATGTCTGAAATTAACAACAGTCAGAAGAAGGGTGTAAAGGATCTTTTTATTAATACAAGGCACCAACTACTGCTTACAGAAGCCAATGCTTTTAGCTTAATGGACAAACTTAAAAATGATTTAAGTATCACCTGTCGACTTCACAGTTTAACTAGTGCACAAGCTGGCTGTGACCAAAGTTGATGTAAACAAACCAATAATAGCAAGAAAAAGGTAATGCTGCAGAATTCTAATCGCCACAGAAATCAAAGTTAGCAACATGGCTTTCAATCAGGCAGAACATGCTCTGATTTCACCCTAGAAAAACTTCCTTTAAATACTTCCTTCTTTGTATCTAATTTGAATATTGCACACACTGGAAATTTGCATTCTCGCAGGGAAATGAAACGAGGCTTGATAGGAAAGAGAGTTAACATAAAATAATAGGTTATAAAATAAAAATAAACCTTACAAAGTGATTATTCAGCTCTATTCATCTCCTCAATTGGATGGGCATCAGTAAAGTTAAAATTTCCCAACTGGAAAACTGAAGTTACCAGGGGCATTTGCGGACATCTGATGCATTTGGATATACACTGAAAATCTTTTTAGAAGCCATTGTTGTATTATTATCCTGGTGAAATTTATAGAGCATGCATTGACAAAGATGATTTTTCAGGCTGCCTGCCACTCATCTTAAATGAACCACCCACAAAGGATAATGGATGTAAAGTTTCTTAGCAGGACAGCTACTTCATCTGTATATACAATTATTGCATTTTGCCACAGCACTATTGCAAAGTATAGCACTTTTGAAATTATTGCATAAAAACAATATTTCTTGTCGATCAATCCCAATAATAATTAAATTAAGGTGTAAGTACTATTTCTTAATTCTTGAAAAAGGAGATGATAGAATAGTTAATGGACATGACAAATACTCAGTTATACAGGAATGAATTGTGTAGAATTTCGTACAATTAAATAATAATAAAAATGAATGATAAAAGATGTTCCCCCCCTTTTTTTTGTGTTGTGTGTGTGTGTGTGTGTGTGTAACTTATTTGTTTCACTCATGGTAGGATTATTATAATTTTTAATGCTGTAAATTAACACTGATAATGCAAGCAAAGCAATTTGGAAATAAAACTTATAATTTTATTCTTCACTGATATTAATTTTTGATTAGATGTCTAAATCCTTTTAGTTATCAATTATCATCAGATATTAGACATCTATTTTAATCTCTTCTAGCTTGAAAAGAGTAAATGTATTTGTTTCTTATTTTTCAAAATAAGGAATGTTTGTCTCAATGATATTGGAATGATATGTGTATATACTTGAAATAAATGCACTGCAAATACTTCTAAGTACTTATCATTTTTAAATAAAACTTTGATTTCATTTTATTTGCCTCCATTCCCTCATAGTTTTAATTTTCATCATGTGCTATACACTTGCATAATGTTGTTTCTTAAAATATTGCATCAGAGAAATGGCAGGCTGCTATCATACTTGTTGATAATGCCTGAAATATCACCTCATCTTTACATTGAGAAACTGGTAATGATATTCTTGCTTGTCTGCTGTGTATATATCAAAATATATAAACACATAAAACCAGGTGTTGCTGTTTTCAGAATGCAAATTACCAGAACAAAAATTGTTTATTTAATACATAATTCCTTGTAGCAAATGTTTCTTGTGTCTTGTTAGCAAATAATTCAATGAAAGAAAAGTGCACAGCTACAGTTTGAATAATTTTGCATTAAAAAAAAAATAGAACATTAGTAGTGTTTTTTTTTTTTTTTTTTTTTTTTTTTTTTTTTTTTTAAGTATTTATATTATTTTCCTCTTCCTCAAGATCTTCAGAAAAATGACTAATTTTATAATGGATGCATCCACATACTGATTGTTTCCATCTCACTAATTGATTTGCTGGTGGAATTTTGGGTACTTGGGCTCTAATTGATGGAGCAATAGTAGTGAAAATCTTCAAGGAAACTAAAGATATTTAATGGTTTAAATGCTAATGAAGATCATTGCACATGGGAATACAATCTGAATAGTAATGAAAATAATAACAATGGCGATGACTTACAAGCTGCAGCAGATGACACAGCATTTCCAGCGGCATTAAATTATTTGAGGCGTAGAGATTAACAGTGGATAACAATAAAAGCGGGCAAGTTTCAGGATACAGAGAAATAAAAGTACATATACCTTATTAGAAAGTGCAATGTATTAATGTTACCATGTTATTAGAATGTAGGTTTCTTCTAAATAAATAATATTGTGATAGTTTCCCAGTTGTTTATTCATAAATACTGTTCATTTATTGTGCTCTTACTGTAACTTTGTCCTTCAGAAATTAAATTATTCACTTAATTTTCCTTTCTCAATTTTCATTCAATAAAATTTGTGAAAAAAGGGTGACTATGAGTAAATATAGTATGCTTTTTCTTTATTAATTGAGCTTAAAATTCTCCATGTGGCAATCATTTATAACAATATTGTTGTTAGTTTTTTCCCTGCTGTTTGGCACTCCTAACTTGAAAGTTTTTTTTTTTTTTTTTTTTTTTTAATAATATATATATGCATATATGGTTTTAAGCTTAGTAGCTTGAATTTCTGACGATTAGTTCCTAAATTATTGGACCTGCAATAACTATTTAGCACAAAACTTTTTTTAAGTGAGAATAGAAATAAAAGATCAGATTGCAATTCCTCCCCTTCTTAAGTTTTTATTTTCTGAAAATAAATCTTTATTCATGACTATCATAATTGTTGAAAAAATAAAGATCACATTTTAGCAATATTGTGAGGGAATGAGTTAATTTAAGTAAGATACACTTTTACTGAACATTAATGAATGATTTGCCTTAATGATTAAGTTAGCAAAACTGATGAAAAAAACTATAGGAAGATATAATTCTAACCAAACACATTGAATAGCAAGCTAATTTCTTTTTATTTATTTTCAGAATTAAACTTTGTTTAATTTTAAAAAAGAAACTTTTAAATTTTAAGTTTTTTTAGTTTTTCTTCATATTATCAGGTTCAATGTTCCGTCTTACTTTCTTCGAGAACATGAAAGTACCTGACTCGGAACAGAGAGCTTACTAAAGCTATGTTCAATAACTGTGGGAAGTAGACAGGATACACAAGAAGGGTATACAAAACCCTTTATTTTTCTCTATTTACAATAATTTCCGTACTTCGGAATACAAAGACCCACTACTTGTGGTCTAAACGTAAGAATATAAAAATATAACTAAACTCTAATTTAACTTTAAAATAATAAACGTGGAAGATTGGCCTTATATTAACAGGAAGCCGTATGTAGTACAGAGAAACTGTGAACACTACAATACGTTTAAAGTTATCAAGAGGATTAAAACCTCTGGCCTGGAGGCAACCAGCAAATGAGTAAAACTTCTAAAGTAAGCGGCCTGCTTCGACTAACTGCTTCCTCTCTCTCGCTTGGCAAAAAGCCACAACTTAAATACTTGGCGTTCGCCAGACAAACTTTGCATAAATACGTTAACGCTTATAATTCTGGCCGGAAGTAGAAAATAAGAAGTGATAGTAAAGATTTAAAATAAAATAAACGTTAGTAAAACTTAAGATCCTTACAATATTACTGTATTTTTCTTCCAGTTTTGATTTGTGTACTTCAGTAAATTGTTTTAACATATAATCGTGTATTTAACATGTTGAGAAATCATTAATGATTTGAATTTATGCAAAATTAGCCAAAGAAAAGTTGAATTTTTGTGGGAAGATAAATAATTTTATTCGAATTGATCTGTTTACCATAATGTTGAAACAAAAATAATAGATGGATTGCTTATTTTTTCTAGGTGAATTAGATGATAATCTTTTGCCAACTGGAAAAGAAGCCGTTAAATCTGAAGATTTAACAATTGAAGATACTGCTGATGAAGACATAAAAAAGGATGAGGATCCAAGAAAAGGACCTGGGCGGCCTGGTACCACTAAACGAAGGCTTTACTATTTTAAAAAAGTATGTTTTTGCTCTTTTTTTTTTTTTTTTTTTTACACTTACTAACGTAAAAACATTTTCGGGTTATGTACTATTGTCTTTATGATAACTTCGTGAGTATTTGTAAATGATTAATGAAACTTGAATATGTGTGTTGCTTTCACAATTACTCATTAGATTCCTAGATTGTATCCATCAGATGCTGGCTGACTGCATCAAATTTGAGAAGCCTCTATGTTTCACTCATCTTTAGTTGTTAATTCTAGAAATTAGTTATAAGTAGTTGTAATTATCTTCATATGCATAATTTAGCAGTCAATGTGTATATATTAAAATACTCCTGTATTCCATTTTTGTTGCCTTTTGCACATTTTTCATATCATATTTTAATCTTCTCTTTTGATTCAAATGTGCATACCTTATTTGCCATTATTTAAAAAAAAAAATCTGATGTGGACTTCGTTGTACGGCCTATTAATTTATACACATTTTTTGCTGCATCGTATTTGAACTTATGTCCTCGATTTTCATTAGATATATATTTCTCATTCAACTAGTTTAATTCTCACTTCATGGCAAGGCAAAAAATACATAAAAACTCAAAACATCATAATAAAAATTTTTAAATACAGAAAAACATAAAACTCCGAATACAGTTATAGAGATTCTACTCAGAAACAAGCAATTTGGCCAATGGGCAAGAAAAGAGATTTTTCAGTGCACAAAACTGAAAGTTTTACTTTTGTTATCACTCAGCAAAAAGGCGCTATCATTAAAGTTGCTGCACAACCTGATTTAATTCACTACTGTACTAAGAGTTTCAAATGTAAACAAATGGTGGCCTTGTGTGCTTGGTACCATTTAAACAACTTTTAAATTTTTGATAATTCTGCAACGATTGCATGCAGATTAAGTGAAGGCATAAAAATCTTAATCAGAACATAAGAACAACATAATTCAATCACTTTCAAAGGAAAAAATGCACTATTTACCTATATATAAGAATAAGAATACTGAGCTCACCGATCTGGGTAACTAAGTGGGTGTATATATGCATACACAGGGTGATTCTAAATTGTTTTTACAAATTAAGAGGGTGATATTACTCATCCAAAAGAGCAATAATTACCATAGAACATACGGTGGCATTCCAGCCTGAGAGGCACAAAAGGGGAATGTTAGGATTTTAACCTGAACTTAAACAGTGTTGGAAAACCAAATGAAAGAGACCAAAAGTTGCACAATCAGTTTAATGAAAAACTCATAGAGAATGCACAAAATGGATAAAACCGAAAACTTAGCTTTCGAGTGTTAATTTGAGCTCAGACATTGATGGCAAACACTTAAATGCACATGTTTGGTTGGCAAGGTCTCAACCTCGCAAACAATTGCAACAAGTTAATTATCTAAATTATTAGGGGGAAAAACTGCTACCTTGATATCAAGTATCAATGTAGCAGTGTTTTCCCCTTATGTCATCTTCTCTCCTGTCCTCCTGAACTTACTGTGCTGCGCTCATTCTACTTGAAGCGCCCTTCTATGGGACACGAAGTTCTGACATCCTGAACACAATATGAACTTTCATGCTAATCTCGGCATACTGTGAAAGTTGGGTTTAGTTGATAATATTCAGCCCTTGATTAGATAATTAACTTATTGCAAACGTTTGCGAGGTTGAGATCTTGCCAACCAAAGATGTGCATTTGAGTGTTTGCCAAACTGTTGTAAGTTCAGGTTGGAATTCTAATATTCTTCTTTTCTGCCTCTCAGAATGGAATGCGACCCTATGTTCTATGATAATTATTGCTTATCTGGATGAGTACTAATCCCTTAATTTGTAAAAACAATTTAGAATCATCCTATATATATACATATATATATGTGTGTTTGTTGTTTGGTGCAGCCAATTTGAACAAAAAGAGAGGTGCACAACTACATGTTTTAGCAGTCCCATATACAAAATTTCAGTGTTTTGATGCTTCTGGTTTTTGCGTTATGCGAGATACATACGGACAGGTGTCGCGAAAAAAATCTCATCTGCATCTGTTTTAAATCCATTTTACAATCCATTTTGGAAAAGGCACAGATTTTTATTCGGTCCATACATATAAATGTCACACAAAAAAATCTTCCAAATGGATTTGAGAACAGGGCTATTTTCATTGAAATATGATATCCAAAATTTTTCCTGATAAAAATGTGTCCTTTACTTCATACAAGTAAGTAGAAAGCAAGACATTTAAATTAATGCTTGCAAAATCTACTCTAAGAATCATTAGATAACCTTAAAATTCTTTTATGCTGGGATATCGTGTAAGTCCTCCCCCTTTCTAATTTTGGACAAACCATGTTTATCTGTTGACCACTGTGTTTTATCATTTTTTTAGTGCGATTCATTAGTAACATCATTTTTAGGTGAATTGGAAAACTAATTTATTTTAAAAAATAATGTTATTAGGGAGATAATTATGAATTTGTCTGTAAATTTATACCTCTTCCTATCAGCTTCTATTCTTTACTTTAAATTAATTCAGATTTAAGCAAAATTGATTAGGCAGACATAAATACAAGAATAAATATTAAAAGAATGAATTTGACCCCCCCCCCCAAAAAAAAAAAAAGCTATGGTTTGTACTTCCTTTTACGAAGGGGAGAAAGTATTGTGATCACGAAAAATTTTAGTTTTCAGATTGCAGTAGAAATATACATTTTGATTTTTTTTTTTTTTTTTTTTTTTTTTTTTTGTGTGTTGTGTGTGTGTGTGTCTGTGTGATGCCTGTATCTATGAACAGAATGAAGGTATTCTAAATATTATTATTTATGTGTTTTTTATTTCAAAACAGATCAAAAAATGGATTTTTTTGTGATATCCGTATGTAGCTTGCATAACTCAAAAACAATTAACTGTAGGACATTGAAATTTTGTATATGGGACTGCTATAACATCTAGTTGTGCACTTCTCTTTTTATTGCAATTTGCAGCCCCAAAAGTGTATATATACACACACATAACTCAGTCTCCTTATGTGGCCTTTATATTTTTGCAATCATTGGTAATGGGCATATATTTCCAGTTACAGAAGTGCTTTAAATGCCAAAAATATTCATATTTTGGCAATTTAAAATTTAAAAGAAAAATAATTAATTTTATACAAATTACAAAATTTAACTTTAATTGTGATACCCCACATTCTATACTTATATTTGGGAAAGTTTTGTATTCATTATAAAAAAATAAAATTGTAAGGAGTCATAACTTCCATGCAACAGAAATTGAGTGGGATATTTAATTTTAAAAAATTTGCACTTTTTGATGTCATTTTCAACTTTTCTTGAAAGATCGGTTAATTACGTTAGAATAATTCAAGGAAGTAAGTTTAAATAAAGTGCAGCAAAAAATTGTGTATAATTTAATAGAGGTACAAGAGGGTCATGTGGTGTCCACATTAGATTTTTTTTATGCCATAGAGATGTTAAATGTAATGCTTTATACTTCCTTCTCATAATATTGCTGATTCCTGAATTTTTATTTAACGCATTTTATGAACAATTTTTGAATTATGTATTCTGTATAAAAGGAAATTTGTTGTGAAGTGTTTAATTGTATTATGATACTTAAATGAAAAATTTGAGAAATGAACCTAAAATAACTTACTGTCATTTTTTTTTTTTTTTTTTTTTTTTTTTTTCCCCATATTTTAAATTTATATACATAAGAGAATTGAAAAATCCACTTTTTCTTTCTAGAAAATATTTTTATATAGACTTTTATCATGAGAAACTAAATTGCCAGAAAAACCAATTTCAGATGTTATCACAAAAAAAATCTTTTTTTAAATAAATTTCAGTCGAATTATAGTTAATTTCTATTTATTGCTAATATAAAAAATGTAAATGTATAAAAATTTAAGAAAATATAAAGCGCTGAGAGAAAAATACCTTAAAAATTCAGTTTAGTATGATAGAATTCAAACTTCACAGTCTTTGCATCAGATTCAATAAATCTAATTAATAATCAGTATAATTATTAATCTAATCAATAATTTAATTAAATAATCAAGATAATCGCTGAGCATTTTCTAGCAGCCATTTCTGTAAAAAGTGGCAAAAAGTGAGTACCACGTGCCTTCAAATGCCGCAATTTAGTGGACAACTAATGATATCTGTTGGCCAAAACGTAAACTAAACACCTAATACTATATATAATTTATTTCAATGGTTAAACGAGGATAAAACGGGATGTGCTCCTCAATAAAGGAAGAAAAACATATGTCTACGGAAATACGGGATGAGCAAATTTTGCTACATTTGAGTTGCCCGTGGAAATTGCAGGATGATCAGGCAGAGGGTTAATGTAAATAAGTCTGATAATTTTTAAAGTTGTATATATATATTATAGACGTTATAAATTTATATATATATATAAATTAATAACGTCTTTTTTTTTTTTTTTTTACTCAGGTTGCTGATGCATTAAAGAATAGTATTCCTGTTGCCAATTCAGTCAGCTATTTGTATGTTTTTGATATGAAACTTACTTGTCCCATACCAGAAGAGCAGAATACCAGAGGTAGGAAAATTCATGATCCTGCTGATACAATCAGAAGATTTGGTATTTTAACTAGTAAAGTGATACCACCAGTAAGCATACACTACTGATCTATTCTCAGTTTTTTTTTTTTTTTTGTTAGAATATAAACTGAAAATTATTTATTGAAACGAGGAAGCAGGGTTTAAAAAAAAAAAAAATCTTTTTTTTAATACTCTTCTAACTTTCATTTATAAATCATATTTTTCCTCATAAAAATTTTGCATTGTGTAAACAGTTTTGTTCTTGTTTGTATTTCGTTCCTAATGAATAAAAGTTGTACTTAAATTCATTCAAGCAGAAAAGGGGGAGAAATACAGACATACTTCGACTCTAGCTGAAGAGCATTTTGTTTATCAGTGAAGTCTGATTGTAGATTCTCTTGCTTTAGGGCTATGGAATTTTTAACATTATTAGGTGAAATTTATGTTAATTGCTTATAGAAGGCATATAATAAGTTGAGTAACATTATTAGGAGAAACATTATTTTGTCATATTATTGTCTTCAAAGGAAAATAATTTTCTTTTAATGCAGAAGTTACATCAAACATTAAAGTTACCATGAATATCCTTATAAATTTTCCAAAGCATGATATTTGTACATTCAGCTGTGTTACTTTCAGACTTACTGATGTTTGATTCAGTTCAGAAGTGTGTAATAAAAAGTTCTACATATCTTAAAAGTATTTTTTTTTTTTTTTTTTTGGTAGAATTTTATTTTGTACAATTCAACTTGATGTATTTAATTTATACAAAGTGTGATTTAGAAATGTTCATATGAAAATGATTAGGGAGAGGAAGAGTTCAAATTTGAAGTTGATTGTAATGAATTTAATTTATAAAAATTGATTTTAAAATGTTCCTTTGAAAGTAGTTTTAACTTGAGAAAAGAAAAAGAAATTGGCATGGAAAAAAATATATTGTTGCTTATTGAGAACAGGAGCAAATATGAGAGCTTCATATTTGCTGATTTTGTGAACTCTTTACTCAAGTAATTATAATGTGATAAGTTGTCATAACTAGAAGTAGCATTCTGAAGCAAAAAATTACATAAGTTCAAAAGGGAATATTTTTTTCATTTTCCAACTAATATAGCTTTGTTTCATAATCTACAAGTTAGTACAGCTCCAAAAAAAGGTAGTCAAATATCTGAGTGGTCAGTGGTTCTAATGAGTTCAGATATTTGGAGCTCTGTTTTGTTACTAATGAACTAAATATAACTATTGCCGTATGTAAAAACTATGTGGCTAACCAGCATATTACCTGATTATTAAATACCTAATTCAAAGGCATGTGGACTTATTGCTATAGCCAGGGTTTGTACCATCCTTAAAATTCCCTCTTTTTTTTTTTTTTTTTTTTTTTTTTTTTTTTTTTATTCCTAATTTGAATCATCTGAAATTTCTATATGTTTTTTACAACTGCCATTTGAGTGTGAAATAGCATTCGAGGAATATTTTTGGCGATTCACTGACAAATAAGTTTTTCATAGGTTATCGTTTGAATTTGTTCCCATTTCTATTATAAATGGTGCAATACTTGAGTTCCTGGGCAAAAAGCAAAACATAAACGCTTTGAAATTTTTTTTTTTTTTTTTTTTTTTTCCCTAGTGCAGAGTTTTTAAACAACTTTTCTCTGCTGGGGATGTGAATTCTTTTATTAAACAGCTTTCAGTTTGACAATTTGTCAATATTTTGGTGATTATAATTTCTATACAAAGTTTTTAATTTGAAGTTTTTTTAAACCTTATAACATTGATAAATGTCATTAAAATAATGATAAAACATTAAAATTAAGACATTTTAATTTTTCTGTGTCATATAGTAAAGTGAAATTACTTTCCATTTTGGCAACTTATTATTACAATACTTTGAATCTGAAAATTAAACGAGGTCCTAAATGCTACAAAGCACAATTTATGAAATAATTCTCATCAAAAGTAAAATAACTATGTAATTATTTTAAAATGCCTTAGTTTTCATTTTTTCAGGCCAAGAGTTTTTCTCCATGTAATTGTCTCATATTCAGAATGTGCATCAGTTTTTTTCTATAAAATTCATTTTACACTTTTTTTTTTCAATCTGATTTTTTCCCCCTAAAAACTTCTGGTTTTTTTTTTTGCTGTTACAGAATTTGTAAAGATTTTAGACATTTCCCCTTGGAAAATTTAGAATTTGAAGGCAAGATTTATAGACCTGCGATTCAAGAACATTCTAGAAAAATGTGAAAAAATTAAAAATGTTTTCATGGTATTAACACATGAGGAATGTATTTAGGAATTTCTTTACTTTAGGGTAATTTTTGGAAGAACAATAAAAAATAATATTTGATTATTTTACTTCTGATCCTAGAAGTCTTTCTCTTAACATGTTTATCTTCCCTTTATTTTCTCTTCTTTTCAATAGACACAAGTATGGAAAATATCAAGAATGTTTCTAATCTTTTCACATGGACAGGCATCTGTAGAAGCGGGAGAAAATGCATTGCAAATCGTAACTTGCACCACCAACCTGGTCGAGTTCTGAAATCTGTTTGGACAATTAATTAATGCTGATATGGAAGCTCAGCTGAATCCTCCCGTCACAGGGTTTCGAGGGCCCACCCTTTTATCTCTGAGCAGTTTCACGTACTCTTGAACACTCTCTTCAAAGTTCTTTGCAACATTCCCTCACAGTACTTGTTTGTTGTTGGTCTCACAACAGTGTTTAGCCTTAGGTGAAGTTTACCACTTCATTAGATTGCACCCCCAAGCAATCCGACTCCCAGGAGATCTCGTGGGTCTTAAATTTTGCTGCTCAGTGCTCATAGTGCCTGTCTTAAATTCTAAAAGTTATGCCTTTTCTAGATTTTGTTGCTTGGTGCATCACTATGTTCTAAAAATTCTGCCACACTGGCTTTGAGCAGTCCTGACCACATATTTCATATTTATTCTCAATGTTTGTATTACTAAAGAAATAAAATTAGCAACTACTTTGACACATTCTAAAATACATATAGTTTTTTTAGAACAACAGGTATCCTTAATTAAATCCAGATATTCTAAAATGAAGAGGAAACTTACTGAGAAAGAAACTGACTACGTAATAAGCAAGAAAATTATTCTTCACGGAAATGTGCAGTTATTGTTATGCAAATTAACCAGTTGTTTTTAATTTCAGCCTTTAGTAGCTTCTTCTTTCCCTTTCCTTACCAGAATGCAAATCAGTTAGATAGTATTTAAACTGAGGCTTTTAGATTTTAAGACAGAGCATGTTTCTGTCCTCTGCTTACATGTTGCATTAGTTCCTGCCTGCTGCCCATTCTGACGATTTGTAATTATTATTTTTGCATTACCACTGTCGACATTTGAATTAGTTACACTGGCAGAGTTACTGAGCCAGCTTAGATTAAATTTTAAATGTGTAGTTTTTGACTACTAATCTACGTTTCAAATTTGCATTTGACTGTTCCTCTTTAATTACATCAGCATGCGCAGTAGTTGATTTTGTTAGCAAAAGAACATGCATCTATATTATAAGGTCTATTTAAATAAACCTTTGTCTGACTTTGTAGTTACTGTCAGAAATGGTGATAATTTGCTCCACTTCTGTTGCAGATTTTGGACGATTTAACTTTTGCTAGATCAAATAAAACCTCATAGGTGTATTGTTGAAACATTAACAAGTGAGGAGAGGAAGCACAAATTAATGGGAACATCGGTTTGCATATTGAAACAAAGTTCTTATGGTTAGAAAGATGCTTAAATTGAAGGAAATTGATATTAAGTAATCAAAATGTCTGGAATATATTCAAATTAAAAAGATGCATAAATATTTTGTTGTGATGCTAAAAAAACTGAAGTGTTTTGTAGCTTTTAATGTATAATTATCCTAATATCATTTAAGAATTAGTGTCATAAATTACATGTGTTTTAAACATTGTGTTGTTAGACTGTAATTTCTATAGCAGTTTTAAACATTTTTTTAATAGATAAAATTTAATAGTGGACATGTAAATTTATAATGACTAAGGATATCTAACTGCCTAATTTAATTATTTGTAAGTAATTACTCACCCTTAAAAGTCAGTTCTGGTTGTTAAAGTGAATTACTGCCTGACATTAATCCTTACTGTGGTCACAAGATACAACACAAAAATGTAAAAAATTAATTTAAAACATTTCTTACTGCTAGTGAGCCATATGCAAAACAACTTGTCACCCCTGATGTGGGATTATTTTAACTATTAAAGTGAATTATTTTAACCTTAAAGTAGAGTAACTGTGTTGCAATTCCAAGAATTCTACATGAAGCTACAATACTAACTGTGTCAGACAGACAGAGCATAACTATGTTTCAAAACTTGCCAACCATGCCATCCTAAGGCATTCAGATCTGTTTTGATCAACAAGTCTGTCTCTAGGCAAGCAGCAGTGGTGGCAATAGCCAGTCTTCTGTTAGGAATCATGCTGATTATTATTTTACTTTACATTTTAACCTATACCATTTGAAACCTCTCGACTGAGCAAGTAATTGATAAAATGAGATATAAAAGAAAAAATCAACATAAAGCTAACTGTTAGTAAAACGTAAATAAAATGTCACTAATCTTCTTTAAAATATGTCCAACTATTATAAGTGTAAAATATCTGGTTGTAACAAAAGTTTTCCACCAAAAAACATTCTTAATAACATTAGAAATAAAACATGAAAGCATTACCTTCAGTATGGGCAGTAATCGTCGCGCTTTTTCAAAGCCTTCGGCCCAGAAACTTGATGGCCATGAGTCCAGAAACAAGTCAGCCTCATTTTGGATGTCTTGTGTAGAGTGCAAGATAGCACCAGCAAAATGTAACTGTAGGTGTGAGAAAAGGTAGAAGTCCGAAGGAACGATGTCAGGGCTATATGGTGCTTATGGCAAAAAATCCCATTCGAGTTCCCACAGAGTCCAGCCAGTGAATGCAGGCACATGAGGTCTTGTATTACCTTTTTGCACCAGAAATCAGTTTGATGGTTTTCCTTGACAGCATTGTGAACATGGACTAGCATCTCGCTGTACACCTTACTGTTGAGGGTTTTACCTTTTTCCAGATACTCTTTGTATATGGTAATCCCACCAGATACAAAGCGTCTTTTTGTCGTGTGTTGCTGAAGTAAATCCACTTTTTATCGCAAGTGAAAATCCAGTCCAAAATTTTGTCATTGAATTGATATTTGAGCAGATTGTACATACCCAAACACATCTGTTTTTATCTGCTGGAGTCAGCTCATGTGACACCCAGCGATTGAACTTGTACGTCAAGTTTATGCAATGCATAGCGCAACTAATGAATATGGCACTAACGTATAACTCCTTAGCAAGCTCTAGATTGGTTGCATACTGATCTTCTTTCCCAAGTTCTCACAGGCAGGCCTCATCTACATCAGTAGTTTGGCCAGAGCACTCTGCTTCTTGAATGTCATAGTCCTTGTTTTTTAACTTTACCAGATCTTCAAAGTGTCATATAATACTGTGAAGATTTCAAAGAAGATGATGTCGATAAGTCCCAAAAGCTGTACACATGGTTTGGTGACGTTCTGTAGCTGGCTTTTTAACTGACAGAACTGCAAGTAAATTATGATTATAATCTTGTAGCATGATAGCTCCATTTCAGATAAGTTGTATTTAATGATAATGTTATATATATATAACATTATATATATATATATATGTCACGGAAGAATTAGATATTCTAGATATAATACATTTTAGTGTATATTCTAGATATAATATATTTTAGTGTATTTTATGTGTTCTAGATATAATACATTTTAGTGTACGTTGAAAGAAATTAAACATTTCTTTCAACGTGCGCATGCGTAAAGCATACATCACGCATAGTCGAAATTAGAAAATTGCAACCAGAAAACTATTTGATGTGTATTCATGATATTTATAATGATGAGGAATTTAATTTAAATCATATCAAAGACGGAGTACATCGAGATGAAATACTACATTTAGTAAGGAATTATAAGCCGAATAAAATAAAAACATCTGTCCTGAAGATAAGGATAGTGCTGACAGATCAACTTCCAGTTCATTGCGCGCCGCGTCGTTCCCCCCCCCCCTTCGTAGAGCAGCATGAAATTGATAAACAGATTTCATAATGGTTAGAGAAACAAAGGATATGCTTTTATCCATTTTTTGCAGCAATTCCACTTTTTGTTTGATGGACATCAGAACATGCTTTCGCTTTGTAGATCCTTTGGTAGCTCCAAGAATCGGAAATTCTTTTTGACATAATCAAAAGTTCAAGCTTACTTTTATACAATTACTCTAACAGTCTGCAAAAAATAATAAGCCGGATCCAATTAGAAGATTAAAGAACAATGCAATCTGCAACATTAACTGAAATAGATAATTAGATAATTTTAGCTTAGCTTATACCGTCCGTTATACATTAAACGCACATGTATAAACGTATTATGCACATGCGTAAAGGTATTATGTGCATGCGGTAACGCATTATGTGTTGATGCATGCGCAGAAAGTTTGTAGCTTTGAGGTCTGGATTATGGACATCCGGATTAAAGACTTTTGACTGTAATTCTACTTGGAAAACATGGCATGTGGTGGAAAAGGATGAGTTTTGGGCTTTTATTGGAGTCATTATCAATATGGGTACGATATCCCCTGGTGAATGCAGGATTATTGGTCAGTTAAGGAGAATAGTCACATCCCTGTCTTTGATAAAATATTTACAAGAAAGAGATTTATGCAGATATTCTGGATGCTACATTCCGCTGCGAAAATGTGCCGGAGTTGCTGGTAGGCAGTTGTGCAAAAACGTGCTGAGCACTAAGCGTTAAACCTGCCAGCGTGAACTGTTTGCACAGGCGATATTTGCAGTGACAGGAAACTTTTGGTAAAACTCAATATTTAATGCTATATGACTAATTTTTGAAAATTGATTTTTTTTCCTCAAATTTGTTTTATAATTATGTTTTATTAAATTATATTTAATACTAATGCATCCTACTTACAGATCTGTTTCATTCTTACAATGGTATTGCGAAAATGAAATTCAGGCATGGATATTCAGTTTCTATTTGCTAGATCCTTATTTTTTTTCCATTAATGGTCCTTAGAAGTACTTAATTTCCATGCACAGAAATTTGTATTAACCATGTATAGCTTTGTTAAATTTTTATGTAAAATTCACATTAGTAAAAAAATGGAAAGTGATTATATAAAATTTCAAATTATACTTGGATCTGAAACAGGTTTAATTGTTCATATTTAAAACATTTATTTTATGCCATCATATTTAGTTATTGCGGAGCTTGTATATTTCTAAAACTCCTTATCTTTCATCCTTCCCAAAATTTTAAATATTTTTACTGTTACTGCAATACTGTCAAAAGTCGTTAATCCGGACTCGTCGGGACTTCGGCGATTCCGGATTATAGATCATCAGTTTAAATTTGGTAAGATAGTATGCAGAAATTATAAAATTAAAAATATGAAACTGTAATTTATGAAATAAAGAACAATTATGATCTAAAGGGTATCAAAATTTACGAAAATAAAAAAAAAACTTAATAATTATTTGTTTAATTTATTAAACATTTCTTTCAATGCAAGTTCTTTAAATTGCTTCATTTTTTATGTGATAATACATTCTCTTTAATTCTATAAACAGATATAATTTCTTGTTCAGTTACAAAGTTCCACTGTTCAAGTCCTGTAATTGCTGTGTCGAGAATACCGACTAACTTGTCAATCGAAATTTTTTCGTTTTCAATAACCTCTGTGTCACTTTCTTCACTATCGGAAGTGAATTATAATGACGAGGAATTTGATTTAAATTATATCAAAGACGGAGTACATTGAGATGAAATACTACATTTAGTAAAGAATTATAAGCCAAATAAAATAAAAACATCTGCCCTGAAGATAAGGATAGTGCTGACAGATCAACTTCCAATTCATTGCGCGCCCCGCGGCGTTCCCCCCCCCTTCCCGCCATCGCAGAGCATCATGAAATTGATAAACAGATTTCGGAATGGTTAGATAAATAAAGGATTATGCTTTATCGTTTTTTTTTTTTTTTTTTTTTTTTTTTCCCCAGTAATTCCACTTTTTGTTTAATGCACTTCGAAACATACTTTCGCTTTGTAGATCCTTTGCATATTAGTAAATATGTACCGGAAATACTATTTGACATAATCGAAAGTTCAAGCTTACTTTTATAAAATTGCTCTAACAGTCTGCAAAAAATAATAAGCCGGATCCAATTCGAAGATTAAGGAACAACGCAATCTGCAACATTAATGGAAATAAATAATTAGATAATTTTAGCTTAGCTTATACCGTCCGTTATACAATAAATGCGCATGCGTAAACGCATTGTGCACATGCGAACACGCATATTCGCAGCCGTAAAGGTCTTATGCGCATGCGTCAAGTTGACGCATGCGCAGAAAGTTTGTAGCTTTGAGGTCCGGATTATAGATCATTCCAGATTATGGGTGTCCGAATTAATGACTTGACTGTACCATTTTTCAAATTGCTTTTCTTTGTATCTGATAATGAAAGATAAGGTGTTTCTGCTTATAGGTCTCAAAATCTAGTTCTGCCAGTATTTATAATCAAAATAAATAACCTATCTTTGTATTAGTTTGTCTGTAGACTACATTTTTATTTCAAGTACATGCTATATAATAGTTATCTTGGAATTAGAAAACACTGTGAAGAAGGCAAACTAGTTAGAAAATAAACTGAAGTAACTTAAGCTATTAAATAAACAGAGCGATTTTGCCTACAGGGGAAACAAAATACATATAAATTTAATATATAGAACAAGAATAGATAACAGAATATAGAACAAGAATTTGATAACAGAATAGATCCATCTCAATGGCAGACTAGTAAAATCATTAAACATTGGAATTTCAACTTGGATTGAAATCTTAGCGAGTAGATTGGCTATACAGCTTTCATAGTTTTCCTTGCATGTATGTGAATACAAGCTAATTTCTCTTAGAACATTCTTCACAAAGGCATCCTGTTCTTAAGCCTAGATATCCCTCAAGTTCTTTGCCATAATCTAAATATTCCAATCCATTTAATTTATATTGGAATATGTAATTTCTATGGAGGATTTTATAATGTGTATTCCTAATTGAATCGATGTAAATATAGCATTTAGCTTTGTGTAAAATATATGAAAGCTGAAATGTTATATTTTCTTTTAATACCTATATTTAAAATTTTTTAATTCAAATTATTGATTATATTTTAATAAAATTATTCCTTCGTATTCAGTGACATATTTTGGTAGTTTGCAAAATATCAGCAAAATTTTAAAAAATGCATTAACTTACATGTTTTTGTATACTATTTCCCCCTCAAAATGATTATTAAATTAATTTGAAAAACTGAGGTGTAAGTAACAAACTAGATTTTCATTTACCTCTTCCTGCATTATGTCATCTTATCTGAGCTATGTATAAAATGCCAGGATAAAATAAACAATAGGCTTTTTATAAAGATTCATCAATTCCTTTGAACATATAAATAAATTTTAAAAATTATTTATTCGTTCAATTAACTTCATATTTATAATAAGAGTAGCTGATTCGTGTAGAAAATGAATTTATAAGCATTTTCCTCCCTTTTCATTTTTGTATAGATTTGTAGTTTTCCAGTATTTACAAGATCGGGTGAAGTGACTGTAAGTGTAAAACCTGCATCTAGCTGTCACATCTTAAATGAAGATGAACTAGAATGTTTATCATTTTTTCATCATTATACATTTGCTGATGTACTTAGGCTTGAAAAGTATCCTATGATTTACCGTCCATCAGAAGCTGAAGCCTCTTTTTATGTTGTTCCTGTTACAATAGGTAAGTTTCATTATTACCTTATGATGACTTGCTATTTCTTTTTATTTTGATCTTAATTTAAATGTGTTTTTTTTAGATATCTATTGTTTGTGGCTGAAAATAGTTTTTAAAAAATTGCTTAAGGAGTCTAAATTTCACCTATATGATGACATTCTTGCTTCGTGATAAAAACAATTATAACAAAATTTTAAAATTTGAAATGTTGGTTGTTTATAGTTTTGAAAACAAAGTTTTTTTCAAGGAAACCAAAGAAAATTCTCTCCCCCCCCCCATTTCATTAAAATGAAACCTCAGTAAGCTAAATCAGTTAAGAAACACGCTGGAAGATAAGTTAACTCAGGGGTAGAAAACCTGCAGTCTTTTTTCAGTTTCTATCAGATACAGAATTTTTTTTTTTTTTTTTAATTTATTTATTTATTTTATTTTAGAGTGTAATATGACTTCAATATACTTTTACAATATGTACTCCTCAAAAAATATCAACTATCATACAGATGTAAGTAAATAATTGTTTAAAGATTTAAAAATTTTCAAAATTCAAACTTGGATTCAGACATTGATTTCAAATGAAGAGTTCCAAATCATCTTTGGTTTTTCAAATGAACTTTGATTCAGGCATTCATTTCAAGAGGTAGTCTAAAATAGTTTTAACTAATTTTGTGGGAGTAAGTCATGATATTTTTTCACTGGTGAAAACAATTATCTTCATTAAAGACAATCATTCTGTACAGGCATTTAAATTTGTAATACAAAATTTTAAAATTCTTCCATATCAGATATAGATTTATTGAAGCTTTGTCAGTATGGTTTAAAAACTGTTATTCATTAAAGAGCTTTGAAATTCTGCAAAAGGAAATCTGACTTTGTTGACAATTCTGCAGGAAGCAAAACTTTATGTTGATGAAAGTGAAAATGAATCTTCAGTTTGTCTGATCATTGTTAATCTTTCAGCTATTCCTTTAATTATTATTTTGAAGATATCCAGAATATTTCATAGTTGATCCCAGACATATTCCACATTTAGAAAACTTTCATTCTTCAACACTTTATGATTTAAAATTCATCTACCAACTTTCAATGGTATTTAATTTTATTCATTAGTTTCTAAGGTTTTTTATACTTCTTATTCGTCTCCATTCTGTCTCTTCTTCTCTGACTTCCCTTTTTGCGCATTTGGTAACCCTAGTGCACATTATATGCCTCTGGGTTCAGAAAGTAAACAAAAGTATCATGTCACATACATGAAATTTACAATAATTGAATTTCACTATTAGAAGGCATTACTGCATTCTCTTAAGAAAAAGGAAAGGGGAAAAAAATGTATGAAGTGGCATCATCTGAGTAAAGTACTAGTTCTTGTTATAATGCAAACATGCGAAGAGACTTAAAATATTTTTTGACAGTTCAGTGATGTATTTCATTTTAAATAGTTCAATAAACTAGCCTGGTTTTATTTCGTAAGAAAAAGATTTCTTTTGTGCCACAAGTATTGTGTATGTGAAACTTCACAATCTCTGACCCTGCTTATGAAGATGTTTCTATGGAATCAATTTTTCAGATAATTCCAAGCTATTTAAATTTACATGATGGCCACTTTATAATGGCTATCAAAGGAGGCATCCTGTCAATGTTTCCAAGACTGTTAGAACTGTTGAAGCAAATATGTGTTCTGGGGTACATTTTCAAATGTAAATAGATGATAATTTTTTATGTTTTGAATAAAGCTGTCCTATAAGCATTTTTTAGAAATTCTTTTAATATAGGAGTATAAGTTGTATTAGAATACAACTGTAGAGTAACTTAAGGGAGCTGAGACATACCTTATGAAAGAGATTATATCAGATTCTTTTATAAAGTGTATGTTGAGTATATTTGTTTAAGATCTGTATCAACTTAAGGTTGAATTTAAAGTAATTTTAAAGTCATCTTGTGTGGATTATATTTATTACAATTTATAATATTTGTGTATATGTTACGGTGAAACACCGAAATCTGGAGAATGTTGACTTTCACCGGTGAACGTCAACATTCACCTAGTCGCTTGGTGTATGTCCGAAACATTTTCCAAATACTCTTATTTCTGACTTACACCGGTAAATGTCGACATTCACCGTGTACTAATGGTGAATGTTGAACATATAACAATATTATATTTTCTTCTCCGTAATTGAGTCGCAAAAAAACGCACTTGAGATTTAAAATAAGAACATAAGAACTTACAGTACATTCAAAATGAGAAAGGAAAATAATAGAAGTTAAAAACTTACTAATTAAGTGATTCAAATCTTATTTATTGCAACAACTTAAACTATTATGACACTTTGAATTGCACAACAGGCCCTTGCTTTTACAATTGCATTTATTTGTGGAACACTCCCTTTTGCAATGACAAGCGTGCACATATACTCCTCTCTTTTTGACCTACACCAGAGCATATCTGTGATTGTCGACATACACCGGTGAAGGTCCGAATGTAAAAGAATGTAATGCAATATTCGATCTTTCACCAACATATTTGGTGAATGTTGACATTCCCCAATTTCGGTCTTTCACGGTAACATATGTACGACATCTATAAATAAAGCAATGAGATAGTCGGTGAGAATGATTGCCTATCAAGGTCAACCACTCCTAAAGCATTTGTTAAAGCAACAACTTTGGCAGAGTTCTCATGTACTGAACAATCTGAGTTTTGAGAAACAGTGTGCCTCCAAGTTTTGTTTCAAACTGAGGCCCAACATTACTGTAATTTTTGCAAAAATTCAACAGACCTGTAGAAGTTATGTTTTGTTGAGAGCTCATGTTTCAGGTGATTTAAAACTTTTTCAGAACTGAAAAAGGATCCTCTCTGTGGTAAATCTCTAACCAAAAGAACTTAAGAAAATGTAGATAGGAAGTCAGATCATCAACTGCTCCTGAGATTGATCTTAGAAAAATTAAATTTAAACCACATAATATTTCATCAGGTTTTAATAACTAAATTGGGAAGGGGAAAAACTTGTACAAAAATAGTCCCTGAAAAGTTCATTGTAGAATACAAGGCAATGGTAAGGAAATGTGACAAGATCTTCCTGCAACCAATTAAAAATGAGCCAAAATTTAGCAAAAATTTTATCACTGATAAAATGTTGATTTTTATATATGATCCCAAAACAAAATGGCAAAATCAGAAATGATACACTGCAATTTTCCAATAGCCAAAAAAACTGGACATTAAAGAGATTGGGATGTTTCCTTTCCTGTTTCCCAGACTGAAAATTTCGAAAGGGACTAGATCTGAACCTCAGAAAACATAAAAGAGGATGTGACTGCCCAGCTTAGGCCATTTCTATTTCAGACTTCCAGAACTGCTGTGAAGAGTAGGAAAAATGTGTGGTTTTGCAAGAAAACTGTTTAGATCAACTGTATTTGTAATTTTAATGTTAATAAAAGGGTAGCTAGGAAAAATCTCGTTACTTTATTTACAGACTTCACATATACTGTTTTTGTATTAATGACATCTATAGTTTCATAATATCTTGATTAATAAAGTTACTAAGTTTGGTCTTTTTACCTGTCATAAACTGGACCCAAGCTCTAAATAGACTTACAGCAAATTATCGCTAAATCTAAAATGAACTACAGAGGCTTGATGAGTGTGTAGTGAATCCTTTTATTTTAATTAAAGTAGAACAAAATTGCACGCCTGTTGCTCACACACTCAACCAGCACTTATGGAATAACTTTAATTAACAGTGTGTTAAAATTTAAATCAGCTAATAGTCAAGGACTACACAAATCAGTTAACTCGAAGTTGGTGAAACATAATCTGCATCGATAGTCAAATATCGGCAGCAAATAATACAGAGCTGAGAAATTCCAGCTACCAAAACTGGGAGAAACATAACTTGCATGCACACAGGCAGAAATACACACTGTCTTAGAATCTAACAACCTCAGCAACCTCATCCAATCTAATATAGATTCTGGTGAGGAAATGGGAGGGAGAAGTAATAGTAAAGATCTAAGACATAAAATAACTAGTTAATAAAAAATTATAGTACTTACAAATTATGACCTTCTAGCATTGAAAGAATCTGCACCATCATGTTGATTGGTTAAATTGCTATGTGATTATCTTATATGATTGCATTAATTTTCTTTAACAGAAGTAATACAACACCTCAGCATCAATATCTTAAACTGGACTAGTTAGTTTTAAGTGAATATTCAAAGCTAAAAGTGATTGTAAAATTCCCTAGTGAAACCTTTTATTTCTGTATTGTTTCTTTATTAATAAAATTTTATTTATAGTTTTCTGTCTTAAGTTAAAATTATTTCCTATTACAAGGTGCTGAAAATGGCTTCCATATCCCAGTGCCAAAATGTTCAAACATATTTATCATGCTTATCATACTCTTATTTTTTGAATTTATTGCTAAGTTATGACTTTATAAAAATTAAAATTGTTTAGTTTCTTATTTCTTAATTATGTTTTGTTTTATATTAAATATTAGTTTATTGAAATTCCTGTTCAAGTTATATTTAATAAAATTTGCTCTATATTATATCTGAAGTGATATGTAGTTCAGGGAGAATATATGTATATATCTTTTATAAACATCAGATTTAAATAAAATTATTTCATGTTCATTTTGATATTCCTTTCTGTAATTTCAGGTGTTAATACTGGTGAATATATTATTGATTGGCAGTTTGCAAGATTAATACATAAAGAGAAAAATGGGAAACCTGTTAAAGTATCTGAAAAAGATAGGGAAAACTTTAAATTTGTGGTAGAGGACTATCAAGATGCTGTAGTCATGCCTTGGTATCGCAATCTGGACAAACCACAATTCTTTTATGTAGCTGAAATCTGTACATATTTAACTCCAAAAAGTGACTTTCCTGACATGGAATATGATACATTTGAAGAATATTATAGGAAAAAATATAACATAACTATAATGAATTATGAGCAGCCTCTTCTAGATGTTGATCACACTTCAGCTAGGCTTAATCTGCTAACACCTAGGTATGTGAATCGTAAGGGTGTTACTTTGCCAACTAGTAGTGAACAGACAAAACGAACCAAGCGTGAAAATTTGCAGCAAAAACAGATTCTTGTTCCTGAACTCTGTACTGTTCATCCTTTCCCTGCTTATTTGTGGAGGAAAGCAGTTTGTTTACCTTGCATTTTGTATCGTTTGAATTCTTTACTCTTGGCTGAACAGTTGCGCTTAATTGTTGCTAAAAGCATATCTATTGGGATGAGAGATCTACCTCAGGACTTTGAGTGGCCTGCTTTAGATTTTGGTTGGACGCTTGCTGATATATTAAGTTCTCAGAATGTGCCAAAAGATGCTAAGCAGTCCAAACAAACCTACCATTGCAATAATTATGCAGTTACTCAAAAAATCAAAAATGGATATGTCAGTCCTTTAAATCCTGTAAATTTCATCAATGATAACACATGTAACTTTGAAGCAGAAAATGTTAATGGTTCAATGGATTTTGAAATTGATGTGTTTGATCCAAGCAAGTTAAATATCCCTGATGATGATGCTCTTATTGAACAAGAACTGAATGAGATTAATTTTAATATGGGAGGATCTTTTTTTGACTCAAGTTGTCCAGTCTCTTTTGGAAGCAATTTTCCAACTGATCAAGGTACCTCTTTTCCACTGTGGCAGCCAGTTTCAGATGCAGATGGAAATTCTGTTCAAAATGAGTCTCGAATTCGATATGGATCTCCAAGTAATTTTGAAGATTCTGGTTGGGACTCTGAATGGGATACTGAGGATGATGACATCCCTTTCTTAGCAGTTGATTTCCATGGTTTAGGTTACATATCTGCTCCAGGTATTATAAATATGGAAAGTCTTTCAATGGATTTAGCCTCATGCCGAGATGATGATATGTGGGATAGCATGGAGGAAGATTCTTTTGACAGTGATGATGAGAAACTCCCTGCATTTTCAAAATCATTTGATGCTATGGAACAAAATAATGATTTGACTTCAAAACTATTTAAAACCAATGAAGAAATTTGTGAATCTAGTTGGTTAACTTGTCCTATCATTAAAGATGATGCACCCAGCTCTTTAATCAGCAATATTGTGGAAGATATTGATGATACAATAATATCTGCAGTAGACCAACTTAAAGAGTCAAAGAAAAAAGAAATAAGTTTCTTATACGAAAAGGTAAATGTTGAGTCATTTTATGAGGAAAAATCTGGCATTGATTTAATGTTCAAAATTGTTGAAGAAAGTGAAATACAGAATATAATGCCATCCTGTTGTGGTAGCGAACCAGAAATAGAGTGCTTCTCCTCACATGAGAAAACTGCTTCTTGCAGCATAGCTTCAGAGCCAACACTGGCATTTGGAGAATTACTACCAAACAGAGAACATCATCAGTTGTATGATGATAATATGCTTCGTGTTAATTTCGATGATTGTCCAGATCTATATAAACATCCTGGACCTAGTCCTAGTATTATACTTCAAGCACTCACTATGTCAAATGCAAATGATGGCATCAATTTAGAGCGCTTAGAAACTGTTGGAGATTCATTCCTTAAATATGCAATAACAGTTTATCTTTTTTGTATGTATCCCAATATCCATGAGGGCAAATTGTCTTATTTGAGAAGTAAACAAATTAGCAATTATAATCTGTACAAGCTTGGTAAAAGAAAAGGCTTAGGAGAATTGATGGTAGCTTCAAAATTTGAGCCCTATGACAACTGGCTACCACCAAATTACATTGTACCAAAAGGTTTAGAGGAAGCGTTAATAGAATCAGGATTACCTTCTGGTTGTTGGAATTTAGGGAATTTAAGTGATTTAACGCAGATGAGTGAAGCAGAAATTCGTCAGTCGATTATTGAGAAAACTGATTCCAAATACATTGAAAAATGTGCTTATCTACCTATGGATACAACAAATCCTTATTCTTTGGTACCATATAATTTGCTTACACAACATAGTATACCTGATAAAAGTATTGCAGATTGTGTTGAAGCATTAATTGGTGCCTATTTAGTATCCTGTGGCTCAAGGGGAGCATTATTATTTATGTCATGGTTAGGCCTTAGGGTTTTACCTATAATTAAAGATAATGAAATGAATAATAGTGAAATTACTTATGGTTATTTACAGCCTCCTCCTTCTCCTATTTTGACAAGAGAACCTGAATCAAATCTTAAACTTCAGAAACTGCTTTCAGGCTATTCTGCTTTTGAGGAAAAAATTGGTTACAACTTTAATGATAAATCATGCTTGTTACAAGCATTTACCCATGCTTCTTATTATTACAATACATTAACAGACTGTTACCAGAGGTTAGAATTTTTAGGAGATGCAGTTCTTGATTACCTTATAACTCGTCATTTATATGAAGATCCAAAGAAACATTCTCCAGGAACATTAACAGATTTGCGCTCTGCATTAGTAAACAATACATTTTTCGCTTCCCTTGCTGTAAAATATGATTTTCATAAATTTTTTAAAGCTATCTCACCAGGTCTCTTCAATGTCATCAACAAGTTTGTTCTGTTGAAAGAGCACAATTCGGATCTGGCAGATTATCTGGTTAGTTTCATTTCTTATTTACTTTAATTGTAAAAATATATGTATCTGTCTTAACTTCTATACTGATATTTATATTCTGTGACTTACTTTATGATCACAAGTTAACAGCAAGCAAAAAATTATGCATTTTGATTAGTTTGATATTTCATTTATTAATTATGTATGAATTTGTTGTTTCCTTTCATTAAAAAAACTGTCCTTGCTGTTATAAAGAAAAAATTTATATATGTTTATTTTAAAATTAATTTTAACCATAATAGCCTGTGTGTAGTTGTTTTTTTTTTTTTTTATTTATTACATGCTCCGCACTTAGGCACTACACGGAAAGGGAGGGATGCCCCGTGGAGGTCTTTTTAAGGGAAACTGGCTTGTATCCACGTTACACATGGGGAAAACCACGAAAACGCTCATGCAGCCAGCCCGTTCGCCGGGACTCGAACCCCGGAACGAACTACCAGTGTTCAGCGGCTTTTACCGCTCGGCCGCTGGTGGGCTGTGTGTAGTGTTAAAGCAAAAATTATGTAGTTGTGATCTTGGTTTTTCTTTTTATATGCAGTACAAATTCTGAGATCCAGAGTCGTCAGGACTTCAGCGATTCTGGATTTTAGAAGGTCAGTTCAATCTAATAAGATGATACGTAGAAATTATAATTATAAAGTTAAAATTATGAAGTAATGAAGCAATAATGATTTTAAGGGAACTGTAATTTTAAAAAGAAGCTCAGTATGTATTGTTTTATTAAACTTTTCTTTCAATGCAAGTTAAATCCCCCCCCTTTTTTTCTGCTAATATTTTCTCTTGAATTTATTGGCAGATATAATTTTTTGTTCAGTTGCAAAGTTCCATTGTTCAAGTCCTGTAATAGCCATGTCGAGAATTCCCACTTGACTGTCAGTCAAAATGTTTTCATCCTCAAAAAACTCTTTTTGTCAGTAACAGTATGTTCTTAATTTGAAATCATAATACAGATTTTATTGTTCAATAATTGATCGCTGATTGGGTAATTGTCATCACAATGAAAAAATTCTACATCACCATTTTTTTATCATTTCTTCATAATTTCCAATAATTAACAAATATCACCTTCCGTAGCATCAGAATCTACATGAAAGTAAAGTTGTTATTTTGCCTATTACTTTTACCCAAATTGCTGCAGCTCTGTTTTCTCTCTGACCACTAAATCAAGCTCCAAATAGGCTTTCATTTTTCAAATCCTGCTACAGGTCAAGAATTAGAAACTCTTTTGACAAAACTGGACTTTAAATTCAATTTGACTCAAAAATTTGGACTTTAGTCCTGACAAGACAGCTGTAATAGTAATAGCCTGCAAAAAATAATAAGCTGGATCAAATTAGCCAATTAAGGAAGAGCACAATTTTCTACTTTAACAGAATTTAAATTCTTTTAAATCTGATTCTTCTCTCTTTCCCAAAGGTATGCCAATAAAAGAAAATCAGTACGAGCAACATCCCACTCCAGACAAATATATCTTGTGTTTACTGTTAGGTCACTTACTGTTTAAATCAGTAAGGAAAACTTGACCCACACACTCACTCAAAGGTAGAAAGCATGGTCATAGCTGACGTCAATCAATATCAAGACAGCAGAGAAACATTCACAAGTAAAAATATAAAATTAGACAAAGCAACAACCTTGCATATGGTATAGATTATAGTCAAGATTCTGTCGATTTCAAGGGCAAACAGGTGCAGGTCCATCTTCAGTAGGAGCACAGAAATCTGCTACAAAGGAAAGCCACAGTTGTACTTATACCAAAAGAAGTAAAGCAAACAAGAAGGTAGCGCCATCTGTCAGCAGAAATATTTAAAAAAAATTTTTAAATAGGTTAATAGTTTTTAAAAGCATTAGGAAGGATTGGACCAGAATTAATGTCATTAATTAAACAAGATAAGTTCTCATGAATGTGAAAAGCTTAAGGAAAATCCAATTCACCAGTGGAAGAAGCTTTTTGGATCAATTTTGCAGACCCAAAGTCAAAATTGTGATTAAATTTCCAACTGTGATTAGCTGTCAACCACTTGCTAATTTCACCTTTTCAGATGTAAGATTTATGTTCCTTCATGCGAAACTTTTACCCTCTTTTAGTTTGGCCAATATATATCAAACTACACTGACACACTTTGATGGCAAGATGAAATTTTTTTACAGGATTTTCAATAACCACAGGAGAAAAGCCTCGGTTAATGACAAATGATCTCTTGTGACTTTCCCTTGTGCATTAAAATAGCTGAGTAACATTATTAGTTCTGAAGTTTTAATTAGTTGAATTAAATGGTATTAATTTGAATTAAATAATATTAGCATGAGGAGTTTCATATCCATAGATGAATTCTTTTTTATTTTGTTCTTGACCAAAGGATATGATGCTATTCCTAAGTTGGAAAGGAAAGTAACAAAGTAACTATAGGTCAAAGAGGAATGCCAATTTTGTGGACTTTCAGGACACCATAAAACGTAGCACAGTTAGCAATAGGTGGAATGAGTGATTTTTCAAATTGGGTTGGGAGTAAAATGTTACGAAACTAGACTTGAGAATTCCATTTCACACATACTGAAGCGGAAGAGTTAATTTATCTTACTAAAGTCTATTTAAGTCAAACCCACTTTGTTTTCCAAAATAAATATTATTATATATAATATTTATTTTGGAAATAAATATTATATATACTAATATTTATTTTGGAATAGTGCATTTACAGGCACTATTTTGAGGTCAAATTATTTGAGAAACTACTTTCTCATCTCTGGATTTGTTACATAGATGACTTTTTGTTCTTTTTGATGGTAATAAAAAATATTTATCCCAGATTTTATCTATTATAAATTAGAAGGATCCAACCATCCAGTTCAGTTTTGAAACTGAATTTGACAATAACCTTCCCTTCCTTGATATTCTTATAATCCGCAATGAATCTGATTATAGGACTACTGTTTACTGTAAACACTTATGTGTTTAATTAAGACACAATAACCTGTCAAAAATAAAAACTGCGATCAAATCTTCACAAATCCTTTCAAGCAACTTAAAACATTCGCTTATCTGTTGCAAATTGTGCTAGGTTATATGCTCTTCCCAAAATTCATAAAAGTGGTATTCCTTTCCGCTCTATTGTATCGAATTTAGGTACTGCCTTGTATCCATTAGCTAAGTATTTAGTTTCTGGATTTTCAACTCTATTAGACAATAACATTTACACCATAAAAAATTCAATAGAGTTTGTAAAAAAGGTTAAAAACATTTCTCCTAGAAATTTACTCATGGTTTCCTTTGATGTAAAATCATTATTCACCAATGTTCCAGTGGAGGGTGCATTAAGATGTCTAGAAACCAAACTTCGTGAATTTCATTTCTCTTGCATCGAAATTGATGAGCTAATTTTTCTCACTCAACTCTGTTTCAAACAAACGCATTTTGTTTTCCAAAATAAATATTACAAGCAAACTGAGCGATTAGCCATGGGAAGCCCCGTTAGTCCCATCCTGGCTGATATCTACATGCATTATTATGAATCAAAATTTTTTTTAACTTTAAACTTCCCGGTATGGTTTCGCTACGTAAACAATACTTTTACCCTGTTTGAAGGTAATAAGGATGGTTTAAATAAAGTTCTTTCAACAGTGAATTCTATTGATCCTGCTATTCAGTTCACTTTTGAACTTGAGACTTGCAATTCTCTTCCTTTTCTCGACATTCTTGTCACACGTAACACATCCAAATTCAGTACTATGGCTTACCGTAAACCTTCATCGGTTTGGCTTCCACCACACTTCAAATCATGTCATCCAACTAAACAAAAGTTTGCTCCTCCAAACTATTCCTAGATGAAGAACTAAATTATTTAAAAGCAATACCTATTGACAGGGGCTTTTCACCCAACATTATTAATCAAGCAGTTAAAAAATTCTCATCTCAAATCACCAAAAGGCACACTCTTGTTTTAGGAGATTATAAAAATTCTTTTGTCATTCCCTTCTTTCCATCAATTAGCTATAAAGTTGCATGTATTTTGCAGAAATTTAACTTTCAGGTCGTTTATTCTCCCATCAATAATATTCCGAGTTCCATACTCAAGGACCCCATTCCGGATATGAATTCCTGGGGTATTTACAGGATTCCTTGCCAGTGTAGTTTAATTTACATTGGCCAAACTAAGAGAGCCTTAAAATTTCGTGCTAAGGAACATGTGGCATATGTTAGAAAAAGGAAAAACAGAAGTCTTCGGTTGCCCAGCATTGTTGGTTCAAAAATCACACTTTCAATTTTTCTGCTGCCAAAATTATTCAAAAAACATCTTCCATTGGTAAACTGGATTTTCTAAAGGCATTTCACATTCAAGAAAATCTTTCTGTTCTAGTTAACAACCCTAATTGCAATCCATCTTTGACTTCAGCCTTTAAAGAAATTATGTTTTACAGGGTTCGTAGCGGTCCTTATAAGTGCTTGTAAGTCCCTATATTTGAAATTAAAATATAAAGGTCCTTATAGGTGCTTACTTTTTTTTTTAAAGCCCTTTTTTTTTTTTTTTTTTGTTGTTGTTGTTGTTGTTTTTAGTGCTTATTTTTTGCTTTGAGTCCTTTTTTTTTTAAATGAACGCGCAATTTCTTCCCGTACCTAAGCCGAAACTAAATAAACAACTTTTCTTCCTAATATGGAATGTCAGATGGTGAATCATACTCCCGGAAATAGCTTTTCCCCCTTTCTTTGCATTAACATAACATTTGGTGTGCACGGACAGTACAGACAGGTGCCCGTCGTTCCATTGGTCAAAGAATTTCGAAAGCAGTAGAAAATTCCGGTACATTCGGCATTCTTTTCCTCCCACCCAAATACTACACACGTTTGAATTTCTATCAAGATCTTAATAATTTGCATTCTCGTTCCGCTTGGTCAGTTCATATTCGTGTTTATTATGATCGTTATGCTTATATTATGAGTATGTGTATGAATGTTTATAATAACAAGTTGCAGTAACTGCTGA